TAATGTTTCTATGTCAGCAAACATTGCAATTGCTAAGAGGATCTTAAAATCTATTTTAAATTAAACAGGTAGTGCAGGGAAGCTAAAACAGGAGAGATGTGATCTCTTATTTTCATTAGCACTCTAACTGCAGCATTTTGGATTGGCTTGAGAAAAGAAATAGAAATGGGGTTTGAGTGCTGCAGGACAGATGAGTCAACAGCTGGTTCAAGCTGTGTTGCTGTGATCTTAAATTGTGATTTTATTTTATAAACCATTGCATCATTGTGTGTTTTTTGTGTGGCCCTGGCAAAAAGGTGCTGAGACACAATAGGAAATGAACTCAGGAGTGATCAATCAATGTAGACTCAACCAGAGAAATTCCCTGTGTCAGACAAATACAGCAGCAAGAAACCTGAGTCATGCCCATCTATTTCTGGACCATGGGTCCCCAACTGCCAAAAAAGAAGGTGAGTCTATGAGAAGAAAATAGTTATTTTCTGGTCCTGTTTGATATGTGCCATGGATTTCAGAACCGCGGCAGAATATAGGATACACGGGACTGCAAATGTTTGTCTCACAAAATTGATGTTATCAAACCAGACATGGAGAAGAAAACCACATTAGTTTAGTGAGCTTTGAATCCTTCTTCCAGTAAAGAAGGAGCATTAAACATGGAGAAAACCACTATAAATCTGGCCATGTGGTAAGTAGCAGCTACACTGGGGAGAAGAAACTCTGCAGTGACGATATGCAACTTCTGATTCGTTATCATTTTAATTGCATAATTTTACAAGTTAACAAGTCTCATGTGACACACATAGTAAAAACTCACATAATATATTTCCATTTAAATAGAAGTACAACTGTGATCCAGGGCATGAGGCAAAGCGGATTAGAAAATAGCTCTTTTAGCCCCAGTGACTTGCATTCATTTTATTCGTTCTTCTGTGGACCCATGGGCCAATAGGGAGGAGGCTTAGGCTCCTTCAAATGTGATAGGTTGGAGATCAACTACAGACTTAGGCCTTTCCCAGATTACTGATAACGATCCAAACCTTTACTCTCTGTGTAGCGTCCAGAAATGGTTAGTTTTTCATCTACAGTTTGACCTCTTCAGTATCCGGTCATATGGAGACATAAGTTTGCATCTGGTGCTTCTAATCTTCCGCAGTAAAAGCTAGAAGAATTTACAGTGCATATTGACACATAGATTGTTAACATCATGCTTCACCAAGGTCTCTCTTCAAGCTTCCTCTTATCTCAGACTGCTTTTCTTCACAGAATAAATAGTGAAATTTAATAATGAACCATTATAAATAATGAAGTGTTAAAATAATGATTAAATGAAATACTTACATAATCATATAAGGAATGGACAATGTGGTTAAATGAAACCATTGTAATCTGTCACGTTACGGTGTTGGTAGGACCCAAAATGCAGAACCCAAGATGACACGAGGCAGATGGTGATATAAGAAAATATCCTTTATTTGGATGAGCCGAGAACAAACAAAAATAAATCCCAAGGCAGGGAGCCAATAAGTCCAAAAATATCCAATTTCCAAGCTAGAGCCAAAATACTGAAGACTAGAAATGATTGGGGTTCAAAATGCTAGAGACTAGAGAAGGCTTGACAGAAATACCACAATGGACCAACACAAGACAGAGACAAGACAGGGCTTAAATACACAGGGAGGAGTAATTAGGGAAAATGGCAGCAGGTGTGTGGGGTGAGGGCTGGAGGGAAGACAGGTGACAATAATTTATCTAAATGGGGGAAACCGAACCAAAGGAGGACAGATAAACCTAAAACACAAAAACTAAACCTAAAGACTGAGGGAAGGACTCACACATACACACACAAACTCACACCTACATACACTGAACTGGGAAATGGACACACACACACACACACACACACACACACACACACACACACACACACACACACACACACACACACACACACACACACACACACACACACACACACACACACACACACACACACACACACACACACACACACACACACAGAGAGAGCTGAGGACAAAGAGGCTGGAGCTGACCTGGGAGGAATGATCTTAAAAGGGTAACAACATAAGACACTTTAACTGAGACGCAGACAAAAGACACATGAGGGCACTATGAGACACAGAAGGGAATCTAGAGAGGGATGGAGAAACATCAGGAGACACATGAAGGAAGACACAGATGCAGACCATGACAGTACCCCCCCCCCCCCTAAGGGGCGGATACCAGACGCCCCAACACGAACAAACAACAACAAGCACAAGACAAGACAACACAGGACACAAGAAAACCAGAGGGAGGGAGAGGAGGAGGAGGAAGGGACTCAGGAGACTGGAACACTTGAGACTGGGACAGTGAATGGAACACTTGAGACTGGGACAGTGACTGGAACATTTGTGGGGACTGGAACACTTGAGACTGGGACAGTGACTGGAACACTCGAGACTGGAACACTTGTGGGGACTGGAACACTCGAGACTGGGACAGTGACTGGAACACTCGAGACTGGGACAGTGACTGGAACACTTGAGACTGGAACACTTGAGGGGAATGGAACACTTGAGACTGGGACAGTGACTGGAACACTTGAGGGGACTGGAACACT